ATTATATCCGATATTCTTTTTAGATGTCATTTTGTCATTCCCTGATATAAACTTGATATAAATGATTTTTATTATAATTAAACGATTTGAATGTTGATTTATATTTAAGATTATTATGTCTGACTCAAATTATACAAGGACATCTACAAATAAAGATAATATATTTATATAGGACTCAAAATATGGAAACATGGAGATTTTCCCAAAAGCAATTGTCGGAACAGATACTCTATCCTGATATAACTTAACATTAATTTTATTTGTAATATACATGTAATATACATTGTAATATACATGTAGAGACAAGTGTTTTCAATTGTCGTGACAATATTTTAAAACGCGCGTTTTAATCTTAAAAATACATAATAGTCTTTATATTTTAAGCTATTCTTTATTATAAGCATTGAGAATATAACATGCTACAATTTCAACAATGAATAATTTCTGAACATACTTCTGACAAATGAGATTATTAAAAATAATTTTCATTTGTTTCACAACTTATCTCGCGTATTATCTTTTAATATTGAAATTTCAAATATCCGAATACAGTAATAATAATGCTGTTAAATAATACAAGTGTCGAGATCTTAGATCTTGAAATGGATGTCCTATATATCATCTTATGCGTCTTGTATTTATTTATTATATTTTTACTACTTCAATTATCGGCTAACATTTGTATAATGGAATTTGCGCAATGGAAGTCAGTATGTCAACTCATTTGTTGAAAGTAGGTTAATTACGCTTACGTGCTCGGAGTGTTCAATTTATCATACCTCATCTTCGGATTCCAGGTTTTATCACTATTCCTTCAGATTGCGCAAATTTTTATATTTGTACCTGTCTTATAAAACAATATTAATTTACCAAAAAATAGTGAAAACAAAAGATAAAGTGACTGGTAAGGGATAAAATCGATATAAATTAAAAGAAAAAAGAACACTCGATTATTTCCCTTTATCTAAATCCCGTTATTTACTGTAATAATAATAAAAAGAATTATATAAGCTTATAACTGTATTCAGATAACAGATTTACAACTTCTTATTTTATAACTTTAATCTTATAACAGATTTCTTTATTATTAATTAATTCCCTTTTCTAATCATGATTTGCAAATCATACTCAATGCAAAAGTGGTGACCCTATTTTGTTAAATGTGGAAATATGACTCAAAATTATGCATTATTCTTTTAACAACTATTTGAGGATATCTGAATGTTTTAGATCATATTCGTGAAGCTCGATTATCTGATTTTTCCATTAAAAATTAGATTTTATTATTTATTATTTTATTTTATTAGATTTTGTTAGATTTTATTATACAGATTTTATCGCACGTGCAAGTAGATGCAGATCAAATCATTGTTATTTAGCAGCGGCCTAAATGAGAATTAGCATCATTAAGAATCGAATATGTAATTACTTTTACTCGATGGAACACAAGATGGAAATTACAATAACGGCGTCATATAATAAAATTGATGACGGAAATAAACGATCTAAAATATTAAATAACTTTGATGGAGAGACATGATATACCGCATATAATGAGTTTTCTTGTATAAACCAATCGTATCGGCATTTTAAATTTTTTACAAGTTTATAGAATCTGTGTTTCTGAATGTAAATCGATTGTGCGCGCGCGTGTTTGTATGAGAGAGAGAGAGAGAGAGAGAGAGAGAGAGAGAGAGAGAGAATTGCATGAGTCGGTAACTAAATAAGGCCGTACTGGTTTAAAAAATTTAAATAAATAAACTCATTAAAATCGACTATAAACCGTAAATGTCTATCAATTTTTACTTCTTGTTTGAGAGAATACAAAGAAAAGACGAATACATCGCAAGCTTCAAATATTTTGGCAAAACATAGCTGGGATTATTTGGGCCACAAAGTTAATTCTTTGCGCTTCAAATTATCTCAAATAGAAACTCGACCTCTTCTATACAATATCGCACAGCTAGTATTTAATTTAATATTTTGATATTTAATAAATAGTACAAACGATATATTTACATTAAGTATAACATTAACACGTTGATTGTTCAGCCGGTTTGGTATGTTTGGTTTTATATACAAAATATTATAATAATATACTTATAATAAAAGTTTTATTACCACTAACATATAATGTAAATGATAATTGAGAAAAATAAAGATAAGATAAAGATTTGCTAATTAATAGTAAAGAAGCAATGGGAAGTAATATTAATATTAAAAAAGGATATCTATAAAGGAAATTTCGACAAATTACACCTAACGTGATAAAAATAATATAAAGCTTTCTTGAAAAACGCACTGAAATAAATTGTTCTCCAAGATGAACCTACGTCGGATTTTATTGTTTATTAAAACGTTTACGAAAATATCTTATAATGTAATGGTTAAATTAAGTTATATATTATCACACGCGATAATTTGCCTCACTGGGAGTTGCCGGTGATTCCCATGGCGCCATTGAAAAGTCAAATGCCGGTCACCAGTTACCCTCGTGGCAGTCGACGTGTTAATATATAAAAAGTGGTTTATAGGATCGAACCGTATTGAAACGCGACGTCGAGCGAAGCTGGCTGCACACGATGTGGCAAATGTAGGCCAACGGTGACGAATACATTGGCCACGAATGTTGGGCCAATATTGCACGGGGAGAGTTTTCGTTGAATAATATGCCATGCTAGTGGTAAAAATTACCATACTCGTATCGTGCAACTGCGATATATTCAAGACCGGAGTTCATCTGTGTCACAACAATTAATTAATAGTATATTCAGAGAGAAATAACTCTTTCAAAATTGCAGACACATAAATAAATAAATATATAAGTAAATAAATATATGCATACATACATATATAAATTCTTATACTAAACTTCATGTAAGAATTTTCCAACCTACTTTGAAAATTATAGTTCAAAATTATAGTTCAAAGCTATATCTTAACTGAAACAGAAAATAACACTTCATTTTAATGCTATTAATTAACCTTCTAAAAAAATTTCTTCCATATATGTAAAAATTTCTATACAATTCTTTATTTATTTGTTTCGATATAAATACAAATTTCATTAATTAATTAGCTATTACTTTATACTAATGTAGATATAGTTAGTAGAAGTAAAATCGATGTACTTTTACTTCGATGAACTCCAAAGTGTATTTGGCATTCTATACAAAAGTTCCTTTTCTGAGAAACATCATTTCCTGTTGGAAACTCATCTGAAAAAAAGTATATGCTGTAAAAGTATATGCTTTTTTCCACTGACTATGTTAGATATATCATTCACATATCTGCTATATACATTTATAATTGTGTTTTCGACCTGATAAGGAATTATAATATCATCAAAAAGAATTATATAGTAACTGGAAATCTGTTTTGTCTAACACCGAATACAATCATTATATAGTTGAATTTCTTATTAAGATTGCAAGCATTGAGCACTTTATTGATCTAGATACTTTTATATTATACTTTGTTACGTCCGACGTAACTTCTCTTCAGTTCGACCGAGTGCACCTTCTGTTACCACCAGGAATGCAATAAATGCCCTGGGTGGTCAAAGAACAATGGACTGATAATAAGGTGTCAAAATTTCACTATTGATTATTACTCACATGTCGTGAGAAGCATCTTCCCCCTTCTACTAAAAGGTGGTGAGAACTCACGCGGGGGTATCTCGCCACCTGCCTATAAAAACGGGTGCGACTGCACACACACCTCAGAGAGTGAGACAAAAATCAAACTAGAAACAAGAAGTAATAATTCTAATAGAAATCAGACTAGAGACAAGGAATCAGTCAATCAGTCACACAATCGATCAGTCAGTTATAATTAATTAATCAAACTTATAAAAAACAAACAATATACACAACAATTGGATCACTAAGATAAAACATTAAAAATCGTAAATAAGATACTGGGAAGATAAAGGTTTGTTTCCTAACATATCCTCTGACCTAAGTGTCACGTTACATTCCCAAACCTTCACCAACCTCTTAAGTCCGATCCTAAGCTCTTCAGTCTCTCTATAACTATAGAACGAGAAGGACTTCAAAATAATTTAAAATTTCTTAAAGAAAGAATCAACCAGAATCAGTAAGTAAAATAATTATTTTGTACACACATTTACATTTACACATTTAATCACTCACAATCACACGAACTAGTCCATCCCAGGGTAAAGTGGTTAAATCCATTGACCCAAAAAGGACAATTAACACGTTTTAAAATCAACTAAGACGTGACAACGTTAATAAAATATAATATAATAAAGTAAAATACTGTAACTGTGATGTCCCGTCTGTGCTGATTAGAATATACTAATATATTCAACCGATTATAATTATGATTATAATTATATTTATTACAAAGTGGTGATAAAAGTTCATTTGTACCAAGCAGATTAAAAAGTTCACACACACGATATGGCCGATGTCACATCGGTCAACATTGTCTCACATTCGCCATATTTGTATGAAATCTGTCCTAAGCATTCAAGCATCTTGAAAAAGAATTAAGGGGATCCTGGAGTCGATGACGAACTCGAACAATGTCGATAATGCAGAGATGATTGTCACTAACATAATCACGCTATCCTTTTCGTATTTCTTGTATATATAGAACTTACATGAATGTTGTTTTGTTTTACCATATTCGTTATCTTAACAAATATGTTTCATTAAAAATCTCAAAGAACGTTTTTAATGGTATTGACAATCTTTGTTGTAGTATCAAAAAAAATTTATTGTGAAGATAATACGTCAGAATTCAAAACCACTAAGAAATGGGTGAGAAAATTTAGAAAATGTACATAATAATGTATCTATAATTATGTATATATAGATTTTGAATATTTAGAAAAACCATATATATGTAGAAATCTTTCTGCAAACTTTTTCGATATTCTTAAGCTTCCAAATGCAGAAGCGAAAGTAGAGCAACGTTCTTCAAAATTTTTCTGTTTGGAGCATCCACACTTTCGGTATGTACAAGCTATGGAACTTTTGGATTAGGCAAATATTACGCTAACTGACAGCTTGAGATTTTACATTAAAACTTTTGTTCATTTTTATCACATATCGAGCAATGCTCTTATTTATTTTTGCACGTACTTTTATTGCGTAAAAGCATTTGCGTAAAAGCAATTCTGTGTAATCAATACAACGTAAACTTTGCAGAAAAATGTCAGTGTTCTATCGGTAAAGTTATCAGCTTCAGCATCCCTTTAATATCCACCTGCTTTCTTCAAGGCGGTAACGTCAGCTTCCAGTTGCATGACTTTCTTCACGAGATACTGGATCGACGTGTTCACGTGGGACATCATGTCAGCGGAGACGGTTTTGCGTTCGACGCAATTGTTGAGAGCGACATCGTCGGTGGCGGCGCCCGGGGCGTGAGCGAGGCATTCCTCGACCACGAGGTCGGTGGCGCCCCAGTCCTGCAGGAAGCGGATGTGGTTGCTGCCCAAATACCACGTCATCGAGGAGCGACATCGGTACGACCACGGATTGCCGGCGATGTATATCCTACGCAGCCGCGCCAGCTTCTTCAGAGACTCGGCCGTCGGGCAGTCGACCAGCTCGTTGTGCGCGATGTCCCAGAACTCCAGATTCGGCAGCAGATCGTATAAGCGCGTGTCGATGGTGGCGATGCGATTGCTCCAAACGACGAGCGCGCTCAACTGCGGTAGATCACGAAGCCACGACGTGTCCAACGCGCGGATCTTGTTGTCCACCAAGCCCAACACGCGCAATTTACCGAGACCCCTGAACGCGTGCGGCTGGATTTCCTCCACGCCGGATCCGGTGATGTTCAGTTCCTCCAGTGTGTTGGCGTAGCGCGTGAACGCGTCCGACGGTATTGTTGCAATGCTCGAGTTCCTAATGTCGATGCCGACCGCTCCCGCGGGTATCTGTAACTGCGCGATGAGCAACGTGGTTCATTTAGCGATGAAGCAGAGATTTTCACGGCACGTAAACGTATGATTACGAAAAGAAGAGAAAGGAAAGAAGAACGATTTGCTATAGCAATAAAAGATCTGGATATTTTAGCAAATATATAGTTGTAATAGTTTCTTTTTTCTATATATAGTAATAAATTAGGGGATGATTGTAACATTCTTACCAATTTTAGATATGAAAATTTTGGATATTTTAATATTTGAGGTTTGTAATAACTTTATAAAAATATTTAATTTTTAGCGAATATTTTATCGTAACTATGAAGTATATAAAAAATTATTTCATACAATCTTTTTATATTTTATAATTTTTACAATGTTGTATATATTTTTATTTTTTGAAAATATTAAATTTCTTAACTTAATAGTAACAAACCTAATTAAGTATTAATTAAAATTTCATTGTTAATTTATCTCTACTCCTATTATTATTTTTTGAATTTTAATATCTTTAAGGATAAAATTTAAAAATCATCAATACAGGATATATAGTATATATATGTATATAAATCCATATATATCTAAAATCTATATATACATAATTACAGATACATCATTATGTACATTTTCTAAATTTTCTCACACATTTCTTAGTGGTTTTGAATTCTGATGCATTATCTTCACGATAGATTTTTTTGATACTACAACAAAGATTCTGTCAATACCATTAAAAACGTTATTTGAGATTTTTAATGAAATATATTTGTTAAGATAACGAATTCTTTTGTTACTGTATTAAAAGAAATGTTGTATATTAATGAGCTAATAATTAGTATGTCAGATAGAAGTTAGCTAAAACAACAATGCTTACAGTGATAAAAAACAATGCTTGCAGTGATAGAACATCTTTATGTGTCGCAACTAGGATGATATTCAAGTACGATATCCATGTATTAATAATAAAATAGCTGAATTAAATTACTAGGAAAACTTAAGACTTATTAAATTATTACTAAGAAAATCCATCGTTTGTTAAATAAGTGAGAGATAACTTTCTTTATCTTTCCTTCTTTATCGTTTTTCTGATAAAATAATTAATTTATCCCACAAATTTAAATTTGTTTTAGATACATCATGCTTCTCGTTGGAATAACTCTTGTCCACAACTTTGCTTTAACTCCTAAGCCTTAAGAAATTGACCAACCACAGTTGATTATTTTTAAAATAATCAACTGTGGTTGGTCAATTTATCACGGCTTAAAGATTAAAGCAAGGTTGTGGACAAGGGGTAAGATAACATCTGCAAAAGTGGGCTTATTTTCTAAATATATTGATAATTACTTCCATAAATAATTGCTTTGCACGAGCAAATTCGTTCAGTTGAAATATTTAATTTTGCCCAGTGAGCTAAATTAAAATAATTTTAATTATTAAATAAATTTGCTGAGTCAATAAATTTATTTTTGATGCAATTCGAGCCGTGATATTTTACAGATATTGAGCGATACCTCCAAATTCGTGAGCCACTCGCAGCGGTACCAATCTTGACGTCCGTTCAAATCCGGCTGGCAATCGGCCGCACAAGCGGCCACCGTCGTCACGAGGACAAGCGACGCCAGAATTCGCTTCATTGCTTCGAATCTCTCCCGGTGACGTTTGATTCCGTAGGTTCGCGAGTTTACCTCTTATACCCGCTGTCAAGGTCGCGCAGAGTACCATCGGCAACGTCGAGGAAAGATATTGCATACGGGAAGCACCGGCGGTTAAACACCGCTGACATATTGCGACCTCGTGTGTGAATTGCATATTAATGCATCGTCTGCTGGCGGCACGCGTCGCCGGATAATCGTGCGTTTACAATAGTTTCGATAGTTTCGATAGTTTCCTCTAACTTCAAGCCTTAATTTTTCAGCGTCCAAGATTTAACATGTATACTTCAATTCTCGATATAATAGTTTTAATTAAGTAGGATATATTATAGGATAGATTTCTTCTTGTTCTTATTTTAAAAATAAGAGAAACAAATCCTTTATAATATATGCTATTTATAATATATTATAAAGAATTTGTTTCTCTTATTTTTAAAATAAGAACAAGAAAAAATCTTTCTTGGATTTTTGAAAGGTCTCTAATTAAAAAAAGTCATAAAAAATTAATTCTTACAAGTAGTTAAATCTGCTCAAAAACGCAAAAATTAAAATTGGTTCAATGTACTGTACATTAAAGATTAAAGATTTGGGCTAAACAGAACGAAAAAATCCTGTGCTATTTTGCAAAAAAGCGCGATAATTATTATGATAGCAATTGAAAAACATTAGCGAATGAGCGTATGTGATATGATGTGAGAAAGAGAGAGGAAAGACAGAGACAGAGAGAGAGAGAGAGAGAGAGAGAGAGAGAGAGAAAGAGATAAGCGATTCAGTCAAAGTCTCATCCGAAGTTTAAATTTGTTGATAATTTCTTGACGAGACGATGCGGACAATTACGAAACTGCATGAGACTCCACTGTCTAACATTATACACCGCTTGTTGTTAACTTTTTTGCTACTAATTTTGTTTTTTAAAAATACAATTTCTTTTTATTTTAACTTTGTTAAGTACAATTGTATATGCGTGTGTCTGTACATGTATATATATATATATGTGTGCGTGTGCGTGTGCGTGTGCGTGTGTGTGTGTGTGTGTGTGTGTGTGTGTGTGTGTGTG